TTGTCTTTTACAAGAATAATCTTTGAATGAAAACTTAAAACATAGATAATTTAGATTGTTAAAGTAAAACCGCAATAATATTGAAGACCAGTTTCTAAATTCTAAGATTTGTTTGTGTATATTAGTAACCGTGTTCATGAATTTAAAAATAACTACTTTTTATGTTGTTTTTTCGTTCCTAGTATCTTGAATATTATTAAAAGTTGGGATAATGGAATTGCCAAGACCTAGGATTAATTTTTATTTTATTTTTGGACCAATCATATATGATGAGAACTTAGGAATTGTACAGTTAGATTTTCCATATATTAATATTTAGCAAGAAAAACTGCATTAAGGTCTGTAATTATTTATCAAAAAGTACCAACCAACACGTATCTTTTTCTTATTATAAGTTAATCCATAATTTAGATACTATGTTTATAATTATTTATCTTTCATTACAAAAATATATGACTTTAGCAATCATATCCGAGTTTATTTATTAGGCGACAAAGAGAAGTATGCATGGATCGAAGATGAAGTTATTGGTCAAATGCTAAATAACTAGAATTAAACTATGTCATAGGAATTTGTAAAAAGTGGTATGATGAATGATTTTTAACTCAAAATGAAGGGTCGATGTTGAAGCTTGGAGTACAATTGTAAATGAACATTAAAAAAAATATATATATATTGTTTATAAAATTAATATTTTCTGTAGATATTAAACACTACCTCCATGCATGATTTCGAAAAAACAATATATTATCATTATAATCTTATAGCCATTCTGTAGATACTAAGGAATCCGAATAATAATTGAGTGACACTTTGTAGGGTTCAATATGAATTTTACTTCAAGGATCTGAATAGTTTATTTTGAAGTCTTCGTGATAGATTATCATTGCAAAAAATTAGATAAATTGAAAATTAGTAAGACATCTAGTTGTGACCAACAACTATTTAATTGAGTCGTTAAATGATTTCATATTAAGTGTTTTTTTTTATAGAAATGATTTTTGAGGCAATACCTAAAAATATACAAGTTGGATCATTGAAATACAATGAAGAATGGGCCCTAAAAGAGTGTCCCTCTTATTAGGTTATTTGATAGATCCCTCATAAGCTTTCTATATATCAATCATGTTCTATTGATGGATCCCTTCGAACGCCTTGTAGGGTCCACTGTGAATTCTACTTCAACAATCCAAACTGTATATATTTTAAGTTTTTAAAAATCATCATTGCAAAAAATTACACAAATTGGAAACCATTAAGACATTTGTGATCAATAAAATTGACCAACAAGATATTTCAAGAAAATACTAAAATGACTACCATTTAATTGAGGGGTTAAATGGTTTCGTATTTGAGTTTTTTTTGTAGGGATGAGAATACCAAAAAAATAGACGGTTCAGATGATTAAAATATAATGCGAACTGGGCCCTATAAGAGTATCCATTGAATAAGGTTGTTTGAGGAATCCCTCAACTGTGAGTGTAGGTTAACTTAAAATTAATTCAACTTCATTAATTCTTATATTCAGTACCAGTAAGTTCTTCAATCCATTATTTAAAACCTCCCAAACCAAATATGACTAGACGACTAAATAGTCATCCACAATATTACATAAAATTTAGATGAAGTTGAACTTAGGAACCTCATTATAATATTCTCATACTTGACATGTAATGATATCCACGCTGTTAATTTGGTATACACTTAAAAGAAGAAAAAAAAATCAATTTGACTAATGATTCAAATCGATAGTGTGATAATGTACATGTTAAATAAGTACGGGGCGTGAAGGTCAAGGGATGAAGAGTATTTACTCATGCACTCGAGGTCCTACATTTGATTCCCCACTTCCACGATAAAAAAATTGTCGGTAAAATAACAGTTGAAATACAAAATCTTAGTACATTCAACTCTAATGATTTCTCTACGGTACTAACACATACTCAATACAAACAGGGACAAATCACCATACAGAAACAGATGTGTATTCGAACGTAGAAGTGATGCTACATCACTCAAGGGACCACTCAACGAACCATGATGACCTAAAATATAGACCCAAAGTAGATGCATATACAGTTTTGGCAGTTCACTATCACTACACACCAAAATAGCATCATGAAGGGCGCGTGTAAGTTTGCAAATTTGATTGCTTAATTATGAACCAAAACGCAAAATTTTGGTAAATCACATGACTAGCTGTATAGCCTTTGAAACAACTCCAAGTCCAAACCCATCAGCCTCCCATTGACAAAACAAAACACATCCAAACCATCTTTTTCGAAAACTGTTTACACTAAAGCCAACTTGCAAAGTACACCACACCATTTATAATGTTCCTTGTCGCTTTCCAAGTGGCCCTACCCCTAAAACTATTTATAAACACACCCTTTACCCAATTGATTCCTTCCTTGGTGCTTAGATTAATTAATCTTAATTAACCATTAAAAAAATATGGGTACTAATTAAACCACGATTATGAGCGGCCCATGTGGCTGATTAAGATCTCATTGTCGTTTTATTACCAAATGGTGTGGGCTTTCTTCTCTCAGGTTGCAGATCAGTTAAACAAATTGGTCATCGGTTTGTATGTACATCCAAAATTCTCGAGCCTTTTCTGGTTGCAAATTTGTAGGAAATTACTAATATCAAGGAGTGTCTCCTCATGCAATGCACAAGGATATGAGTAAAACAAAATGCTGATCTCCAGAAGATAAAAAAAAAGAAAAGGTATTGCTTAGATAAGTATAAATTAGTCTTAATTGTTTTGTATTTTCTTTAGGTTTTCAGAACATCTGACTTGTAGCTCAAGTGATTAAGAACATTTATCATACATCCAAGGTCCTATAATGTTTGATTGTCCCCTCCCTCAGTATCACTTGTATAAAATAAAAAATATAAAAAGACATGCAGGACAAAATTGGGTAAGTTCGATAAACTGTCTCTCCCTCTTGAAGGAACAGAACATGGTATATAAAGACATACTAACAAAGAGATTGAGTAAACGAGGGGCTAAAGTTGGGGTTTAGAATTGGAAATGTTGGGTGAACCTGCTTGTTGGGCTTCACATGGTGCCAATTGTTATATTTTTATCTATTGCAATGCAACGAATTAATAAATGAAGCAACTTCATTTAATTAGTTGTGTTGAACTTCACATCCCATGCACATTTTTTTGATCATTAACGATTGATTTTGGGCCTGATTCGAGGATGATTATTGAAGCCGGTATCGGATTCTTCAGAGTCCAATTGAGGAAAATCGTAGCCCATATCATGGAAGCCTATACATGTGTTACAAAGATGTCCTCAAGCCTGCACCGCATTACCTTTTTAAAAATAATTTTAAAAAAATTATACAAGCGACAGTCTAAATTATTCTAAATTGATCTAATCTATGAGAGGAGGATTCAAACTTGTGTGCAAGAGGGTAGGCTCTGACCTAACCCACATGTTGATTTGAATCAAAGTTCATCTCGACCATCAATTTTTAAGCCTCACTATAGCAAACCTCCAAATCTAACATAAAATGTCTGGTAACAAAATAGGGGTTTACAATGTACAATGGTTTGTTGACAATGAAACTAAAATCGGTGGTTTTCTTTTGGTCATTCTGCGTCACTGTCTATGGGAGTTGATAGTTGTCATGCATATAAACTTATATTCAATGGATTCTGGATGTGACAAAATAACTTATTACTTTATTCCTGATAAACCAAGATACACTATAAGAAAGCTCACATGTATGTTTGAAGGAAAAACATAAACAAAACTTCTTAAATTTGACAATTCAAGATTAAAGAAAGATAAAATCCCAAAAGCAGATTACAACAGTAGATGAACTCTCAATGGAGCCTGAAGAAGGAAAGTAGAGGATCATACACAACTTGATTGGCATTCATAGCCATAATAAAATCCATATGGGCATAATCCTCTCTGAACTGTACCACAAGCTTGTCCTTGTCATGATCTTTGAGGTTGTCCAGCAAAAGGTTCACATCAAACACGTTCGAAAGCGGATCCCTCCCTCCATAGCTGAGGAATAGAGGAACATCTTTTGGAATGTTTGCCATGTTGTACACAGGAGGAGTAGGCTGCCTGTAGTGCTGCATGTTTGTGATTGGCAGACCGTAATCATACATTTCTATGGTGCCCTTTCTGACCACTTTCGAAAATCAACAAGAAGCAAAAATTAAAATTAGATTAAGCATTGAATGTAATTAGGGTGGACTTTCAAACAAATACTTCAGCTTTTTAGCGGACTTTAGACCTTTAGTTTTAGGTGACCATAACTAAACTTGGAAATGAAAGAGAATTACTCTGAAAGAGATGTAGAGCATTCTTTGTTGAAGTAGTTTGCGGCGTATGCTTAAAAAGAGCATCAATGCTTGAAGAACTGAGGCAGCAATTTGGGCCTATAGATTGCAAAAACCAAGTCAATCAACAGATGAGGAAAAAAAAGAAATTCAAGTTAAAAAGGATGAATGGGAAAGCTTAACATGGTAGTCACCTGTTGTAACTGATAGAAAGTTGGAGCAGTCAATGCCTGGTCTTGTGCAGATAAAATCCAAAAGTCGGTTTACCTGACTGTTGGGATTTTGGGAAGGACAGGAAAATTGTTATTATCATGTCAATTTTCACAAATGAGTGACCAAGAATCAGATAGATTAACATTCAACCGTTTATATATTTTTTTTGCATGAAAAATCCTTTATAAATTTTACTTGAAGGACAGTTTTCTAGGTAATCGTTATGTAAAAAGCATCCTTGTCAACTCTTTTGAAACAACGAAATAAATTATAAGACATAGTTGGGAAACTTCTCATGCTCTAGGCTAGCATTGTTGGCCTCAGAGCCAGGAGAATTTTGTGAAGAGTATGTATAGGAAGTTGGGTTTCTCTCCAATTTCTGGAGAGAAAATTCTGTACAAAAATGAATTAAACTTATTATTTTGTCTGCATTTGCCTTTGCTACTTAAGAAAAATAGGTTAAGTTGTTAATCTCACTCGTTTGGAAATGCCTGGGAACCCAACAACGCCAGTCCCTGTTAAATAAAACACATAACACTTTGGTCGGTTATTCTACTTTCATCACAATGAATGAACTAAGAATCCCATAATTTCAAAATAAAATAAAATAAAAGTTCATTTAAATTGTGTTACTTGAGCTAAAAATATGTCGGCAGCAGTTCTTCCAAACGGCGATATCTGACCAAGATAAGCAATTGGACTAAGCAAAGCAGCTGATCTTAGCAAGTTTAACAGCTTTTCTTGGGAGAAGGCGGCAAGGGCAGTCAAAGTTCCCTATAATTTCAATACTTTCCAAGTCTCAGTCATACTTGTTTGTTAATTATGTCTTACAAAATGGAAAAAAATAAAATAAAAAACTGGATCCAGCAAAGTGCATGCAAATATTTACCAAGGAATGACCAACATAGTGTAATTTCTGTCCTGTTTGATTGTTCACGTACTGGAATGCAGCAGGAAGATCATAAGCAGTCAATTCATCCCATGACCAGTCCCAGTATGCCTACATATATAAACATGTATCATTGATTCATTAGTATGTATAAGCTTAATTACGATGCAGATTATGATGTGATTAAAATAAAAGCCCAGTGATCGAACCGGATCATTAGGGCTAAGTGATGTGTGTCCGCGGCTAGATTCTGTCCCACGAGCGTTGGCAAGCCATACATCAAAACCCTTATCTGCCAAGATGAATGCCAAAGCCTTATCCGGCTCATTGAGCAGCCAAGCTGAAGCATCCTGTTATCACACATAAATTGTTTCTTAATTGGTTTGTTATGCCATGTACTGTGTACATTTAGGGTTCAGATATATGGTGGCTCAATTAGGTACAAACCATAAGGAGTCCATGTTGTAACAAAACAGGCAGCTTAGCTGCTGTCTTGTTACTGGACCGACCAGCTGGAATCCTTTGCAAGCCAAGGACATAACCATCTGCTGTTGTTACCTTAAACCCATAAAAAGTTCCATGAAAAAAGATACAACAAAGTTTAATTAGTCAATGCCAAAAGAAGAGTGACATATATAAACTGATGAAAAAAGATAAAACTAAGGCTGGCATTTTATAAAACTTAGTTACTTTATGTTCTTCGCAAGCATAGCCTTGTGTCTCCACCAATGACTTGCAAATACCACCATCCACATTGTTGGTTGGTTGCAGCTTAGTTCTTGTTGCTGCAGCAGCTGAAAGAGAAAGTAGAGCCACAAGAAGTAGAGTGCTCAAAGGGTTGGCCATTTGGAGCTTAGTTTGATTTTGATACAAGTGATATTGGTGGAGGGGGGGAATTGAACCTAGGACCTGAGGTGCAAGGGTAAATGCTTTTAACCACTTGTGCTACAAGCCCCTTGATAGAGCTTAGTTTGATTCGTTGTCTCTATGTGTTTCAGAGTGTTTTGCTTTTTATAGTAAATAAATTAGAAACAAAACGGATCAAGCCAAACACAAGAGTTACGTCATTTGTTGGGTGAACTAGGTAGTAATGAAAATAAATGTCATATAGAAACCCCCCAAGACTTTGACCTCCCAAACTTTGAATTATTATGAGATTAATGTGGAAATTATTATGACACTATATGAGTACAAATGTGTGTAAATTCTCATGAATGACCCTTCGTACGTTAAATTGTACATCGTAATATTGAATTTCTGAAACTTTGTATTGAATAATAACGCTAGACCATAAATAGATTAGATCTGTGGTCTATTTTGATAAAAACGTTTACAGACCAATCAATTTTTTTATATATTTTTTTATAGTGGTTCATTGAAGTAGACAAGTTTGCCTGAGTTGAAGAAACACATAAATTGAAACGTCAACGTTTTTAGACCTTGGTGAGAGTCAAAAGATCAACTTTGTCCCAAATTATACGTTTAGCTTGATGTCCAAGTTATAAGTCAATTGAGATTTCCATTGGACATTTATAGCTTGACCATCTTTTGGCCTCCATGTTCCAATTGGTTTTCTCATGTTCGTGCCTTCAATGGGCAAGGCCGGTTGTCAGGTTTTTGCATGTTTTTTTTTTTGGGTCAAGGTAATTCATTTCATAAATATGAAAGGGATTACACAATCATAAAATGCAAAAATAAAAACAAGACCAACATTGATAGGTATAAGGCCTCAACCCAACAGAAAAAAAAAGCCACATAAAAGAAAATCCTAAAACAAACATCTAGCCCAATACAAACACAAAGGAAGAACCCTAAATCTGAGAAGCTACAGCCGCCACTTTCCTCTTGCCGTACTGCCGTCGCAAATCCACAACCGCCAGAGATAGGTAACTAGTAACCAGACAAACCATTGCTTAGAATGGAGAATGGCGGTAGACAAACCACCAACGCAAAGAGTGCTACCATAATCCTATAAGCTAGTGCAAAGAGAACTTTTGAAGCATTCTCATCCATGGAGCCGAGGAGCAATGGCTCATGGTTGAGATCTCGGGTCGGGACACAACCGGAGGGAATGTGTGAAGGACACCATAACAGAGAAGGGGCAAGAGATGTAGAGATGAAAAGTGTGGATGACAGAGGGCAGCGGCTATAAGCTGCTCTTTGCGTTATTGATGCTGGAACGAAGATAATTGAGTTCTAGGGCTAAATTCCCAAGAAAACTCTTTAGACTAAAGTCTGAAATTATATTGATTAAAAACTGAATACAAAAGTCTCTTAACAGCCTATTTATACTAGAATACACCAGCCTAGAATTCCTATTCCTAGTTTACTAAGGAAACCTAATTGATAAAGGAATTTAGAAACAAAACAAGAAACTTAAACCAAATCCTAATGAAGAGGGGAAAACAATTAATTTAATAAAGTAAAATATCTAAAACTTAGCCCTTTTTGACTAGGATTGATGCTCCTGCATCAACTCCACCGGTTGGAAAGAACTCGACTCTGGTGAGAAAGCTTTAACAACTTCAGCATATATTTCTGGATCAATCCTCTTTAATTCTTCTTCAGGAACCCACGTGCTCTCAGTAGCGTTCTTACCCAACCATTTCACTAAGAACCGCCTATACTGGTTACCTCTCCTTGACTTTACCTCTTTGATATCCAACACATCTTCAACAATTTCAGGGTGAGCCTTTGGAAGTTGTTGGATTTGTGCCTCTGTTGAAACTGGTTCCTCATCAAATCCTTCAAATAAATACAAGTCAGACACATTGAAAATTGGGCTAATCTGGAGATCAGGGGGCAGCTCTAACATGTAGGCGTTTGAACTAATTTTCTTCAACACCTTGCATGGCCCAAACTTTTAGACTTCAATTTATGGTATGTGCCTTTCGGGAATCTGTCTCGTCTTAAATGCACCAAAACCATATCACCTTCTTCAAAATCTTTGAGTCTCCGATGTTGATTTGCAGCGGCTGCATATGACTCATTACTAGCCTTTATAGCTGTCTTTACTTCCTCATGCACTCTTTTCACGTGATCTGCAAAACCCTCTCCTTCATCACTCACCCTCATCTCTTGTGGAAGTGGAACTAGGTCAATAACATGTTGAGGTTTAAGTCCATAAGCAGCTTCAAATGGTGTCTTCTTTGTTGATCGATTCACAGAATTGTTGTATGCAAATTCAGCTTGTGGAATGATCAAATCCCATGTCTTGACATTGCTTCCAACAAGGCACCTTAGCATATTACCCAGACTTCTATTTACTACTTCAGTTTGACCATCCGTCTGCGGATGACAAGTGCTAGAATACTTTAGATCAGTTCCAAACTTCCTCCAAAGAGTCCTCCAAAAATGCCCAGTAAACTTAACATCCCTATCTGAAACGATAGATGTTGGCACACCATGTAGTCTCACCACTTCTTTAAAGAATAAATCAGCTATATGTGTAGCATCTGCTGTTCTAGCACATGGAATGAAATGTGCCATCTTGGAAAAGCGATCTACCACGACAAAAAGACTATCATGTCCTCTGGCTGTTTTCGGAAGTCCTAACACAAAGTCCATACTAATATGAACCCAAGGGGCTTCTGCAACTGGTAAGGGCGTGTATAAACCCGTATTTTGTGAACTTCCTTTGCCAAACTGACAGATTTGACACTTACGGACAAGTCTATCAACGTCCTTGTACATCCCAGGCCAATAATAACGATCAGTCACCATAGCCAATGTTTTATCCCTTCCAAAATGTCCTCCTAATCCATTGCCATGAAGCTCCCTAATGATTTGTTCACGTAATGATCCCTCGGGAATACACAACAAATTTCTTTTGAATAAATACCCATCATGCATTCGAAATGGTAACATCTTCCAACCTGTTGGACCTTGGAGTTCAGAAACTATAGAGCTGAAATATGAATCCGTAGCATATTGTTCTTTTAACTCCTCAAAGCCAATAACTTGGGTACTCATCGTTGTTAATAATAGATTCCTTCGGCTCAAGGCATCCGCAACTTTGTTAGATTCACCCGTCTTGTAGTTGAGAGAAAAATTGAATTCTTGAAGATATGAACTCCATTTGACATGCCGAGCATTCAACTTCTTTTGAGAGTTCAAGTACCTTAAAGCTTGATGATCAGAGTAAACCACGAATTCTTTATAAGCGAGGTAGTGCTCCCAATGTTGAATTGCCCGAACCAAAGCGTAAAATTCTAAGTCATAGGTAGAATAGCGACATTTAGCACCAGACAACTTCTCACTAAAGAACTCCACGGGTCTGCCTTCTTGACTCAAAACAGCCCCAATTCCAACATGGGATGCATCGCATTCAATAGTGAATAACTTCTCAAAATCTGGTAAAGTAAGTACTGGAGCTTCTGTCATCAATACCTTTATTTGTTCAAAAGCTCTTTGTGCTGACTTTGACCATTCAAAGCTGTTTTGTTTCAAGCATTCAGTGATCGGATTCATAATAGAGCTGAAACCACGGATGAACCTCCTATAAAACGAGACCAATCCATGAAAACTCCGAACATCACCCACAGATTGTGGCACTGGCCACTCCATAATAGCTCTTATCTTCTCAGGATCTGCTTGCAAGCCATTAGTTGAAACAACAAAGCCTAGGAATACAACTTTGTCGCTCAAGAAGGAACACTTTTTAAGATTTATATAAAGTTGTTCCTTCCGAAGGGCCTCCAGAACTTGCCGCAAATGGATTAAGTGCTCTTCAGAAGTTTGACTATATATTAATATGTCATCAAAATAAACCACCACAAATAAACCTAAGAAAGGTTTTAATACCTCAGTCATGACTCGCATAAATGTGCTTGGAGCATTGGAGAGTCCAAATGGCATCACTAACCACTCGTAAAGGCCATTAGGAGTTTTGAAAGCTGTTTTCCATTCGTCACCGCTCCTCATGCGAATTTGATGGTACCCACTTCTCAAATCAATTTTGGAGAACACCTTAGATCCTGCCAGCATGTCAAGCATATCTTCTAATCGAGGGATAGGGAACCGGTATTTCACTGTAATCTTGTTAATGGCACGACTGTCCACACACATCCTCCATGTTTGATCTTTCTTTGGTGTTAACAATGCTAGAACTGCGCATGGACTTTTGCTTTCACGCACTAACCCTTTAGCAATTAGATCTTCTACTTGCCTCTGAATTTCAGCTCGTTGGGTGGGTGGCATCCGATATGCAGGAAGGTTAGGTAATGCTGCTCCAGGCACCAAATCAATAGCATGTTGAATACTCCTCATTGGTGGTAAACCTTGTGGTAATTCATCACCAACTAGCTCTTGGAATTCCATTAATATGTGCTGAATTTCTTTCGGAAACTCATTAAATTTCAGCAGTTGATCAGCTCCTATCTCTTTAGCAACAAGCGCATACATAATTCCCATTTCTTTGCTCTCTTGTTCAAAATTATGGCCTGTTAAAAACCCACTGACTTTGGTTACCTTAGGATTGTTGTTCACTTCTTTGAGTGGTTGCAAGCTCAATTTCTTCCCATCTTGATGGAATACATAGGTGTTGGCTTTAGTGTAGTGAATCATGTCTTTGTCAAACAACCAAGGTCTTCCTAATAAGATATGACATGCATCCATGGGAACGACGTCGCACCACACTTCATCATCAATAGTATTACCAATAGTGAATTTAACCAAACACCTTGAAGTAACTGGTACTTCGTTCCCCTTTCGAAACCATGCAACCTTGTAGGGATTAGGATGCTTCTCAATCGGTAACTTAAGTTTTTCCACTGCCTCCTTTGAGATGATGTTCTCACTACTTCCTCCATCAAGGATCACGTTACACACCTTTCCCCCACATTGGACTCGTGTTCGGAATATATTATGACGCCGCCAATCTTCTTCCTCAACTTTGGGAGTTGTCATCACTCGTCTGACCACCAAAAATTCTCCTTCAACTGGTAATAGATCAATAACTTCCTCTTCATTACCAAAATTGTCATAGGTTGGTTCAGGAAAATCAGTTATCTCAAGAAAGGGAAATTTAAGGTGAGGATGAAGAGGAAGAGGTAAAGAAAGTCAAGCATGGGGAAAGGGGAAGAGGAGAACTTGGGGGAGATTAGAGGGATGGGAAGGAGTTGGAGAGAAGATTCAGAGAGGTAAGGAGCAAAAACAAGCAAATAGAAAAATAACATAAACTCTCATAGAGGAGAGGAAGAACTCTCACAGAGGAGAGAGAGAGAAAAATAGGAGAAGGAAGAAGTGGGAAGGAGGAGAGGAGAGGGGAGGAGGAACTAAGGCGGCCTCCTCCAAAGCGCTGCAAAAGTTTTCAGAGGGGCTAGGGGTTAGAGAGAAAAGTCGAAAAGCTCGACATTCCTAGTGCACCTCCAAAGGGAGCCATCATCCTGTTTAAATCATCACAAAAGTACTTTCGGTTTTTTGCATGTTTCTTATGCACTGTCGTCTTGTCATTCTTTCCAGAACCACACCCACACCCCACCAGCTTAGAGCTATAATTCTTATTACGTAATAAAGAATAAAAACTTGAAATAATAACCCAAGGTTTAAGGATGAACGACTATGAATTCAAAACTCAATTTCAACCTAGAGGTAAATGGCCACATCAAAGAATCTCCTTTCCACCAAGAAAAAGAAAATAGAAAAGGCCAGAAGCTACTTTGAACTTACAATATGTTGTAGGTAATGGCCACATCAAAGAATCTCCTTTCCACCAAGAAAAAGAAAATAGAAAAGGCCAGAAGCTACTTTGAACTTACAATATGTTGTTGGTCCTAGATTATCAACCCCAGAGTAAACAAAAATTTCAATTGGCCATTCAGCTCAATCTCCCCCTTTTAGCTGTTTCTTCCGTTTTCTTCGTTGATCTCTCAAACCTGGAAGGAATAACAATATCAATACAAAAACCAAAAGAGCCAAACCCCTCCCACCCCAAAACACACATACACACAAAAAGGAAAGAGAGGAACGAAAATTTACGTGTTTTCTCCTCTTTTCTTTTCCTCCTCAAATCCACAATGTTTCTTCGTTTTTGTGCCATCTCTTTCCCATCTATGCGCACCTAAGAGAGAAAGAGAGAGTATGAAATACTGGAACTCGAAGTAATGGCATAAAAATAATGCATGCTCATTAATACCCAAATAAAAAGTCAAATGAAAGCAAATTTCTGTAGTTTGTCTTGTTGATTTCAATATCACTTTCACACACATCTGCTGCTAATCTTATTGTAATTATAGTTTACCATGCATCTGTTCATTTATGATGGTATGCGTTCTCTCTAATCAACAAATGTATCCATATTTTTAATTTTTGAAAAATCAACGGAAATGCAAAATTTTTTAAGGCTTCAAAAAGTAGATATATCTACTTTGAGTGCAAGTTTGACCATACATAAGTTTCAATCATAACTAAAAAATATCAGTATTATCTGGATATCATGTGATCCTCTCGTATTGGGAACTATTTCAGTGTCACCAACATGAGAAGAGAAAAGAGTAATGAAATCATACCAAAAAACTTTAATCAGATTGCAGGAAATAGGTAAAGACTATGACTCTAGCCTTTAGGTACTACCTCATGCCCAGCACTCCGAAGTGCCTGGAGTGGTTCCACGCAATCCTGACCAATAACTACCAATTTACATTTTTCTTATGTCCTGAGTCACTCTTGTCACCAAGTTTTTTTCATAGCCAATTCTTCAAATTGATGTTGCAGGAGAGGCGAAATACCAGCCTGAAAAAAAAAGAGGATCAGTGCCATTACTTGAAAACACAACAGTGCAGGAGCCCCTTATAAAGGTCCAGCAACAGCCAATATACTCCTTGGTGGAGATCATAATCATATTATCTGATAGGGCAAATCAATCATAAGTTTGACCTCAACTCTCCGGAAAAACACCATAAATGGGAGAGAAGATAGTAATTAAGGAATGTCACGTTACAAACATAAGTTATTAAGTAGCCATAAAATGTATATTCTTTGAAAGAGCCTGTGAAAATAAAGAATCTAAAAATGTGAAAGCCATAATTTAGTAAATCTACAAGGGGTTATCCAAACATTCCAGAAGTACATGAAGACTTGAGTCTCAGTTCCCTTAGAACCTTTAGGTTCCCCTGTGATTAGTTACTACACGACATTCCTAGTTTTGTACTAACTAAAGATAAAATGACAAAATATTCTCAAAGCAGTTCTATAATATTTTTCCACTCCTATTTAATTTTACTAATTTTCATTTCACTCTTCCAACAACCTGCGCACAATTACGGGAGGGGAGTTACCCAGTGTTAGGCAGACAGCCTGTGTTAGGTTAGTCTTTGGCGCACTATTTTGGAATCCAACCCTTACCAACACCCAGATCACAATCATGAGGAGTTACCCAAGTGTTAAACAGAGCCTCTGTTGGGGTAGCATCTACCCGTTGTTTGGGATTCCAACGGTTTTAGGTTGGGTCCTTTACCTGGCCTATGTACAAGCAAGGTAATAGTGTCAATTGAGAGATGGGAAGGTGCAGGTTTACTAAAAAAATTAAGAGTTAAAAAGGAAGCCGAGACTGGAACAAAAGAATTTTTATGTTTTTGATAAACAGTGCCAGTTTTATAGAATAACTAGATAAGGAAATTTATGAGTTGGAAGGGGTGAAGAGTTTTGCTACTTAAGGAGAGAAAAATATCAGCTTAGAGATGGGAGTTCTTGGTGATTAACATATAAATATGAAATCATTTTTGGTATCGGTGTATATCGATATTGTTGGTTTTATTTGCACCAGATTTTTGGTATTGGTGTATACCCATCACCAGATTACTTGGATATTTAGTTTGATTAAATTGCCGGGTTAGTAGATGGGTATTCAATTAAGGTTTAATTTGGTTCATGTTTGACTTAATTAGAGATTGTAAAAAATGATTAGAGATTCTTTTGGGTGAGATATTTAGTCAAATACCCATTCTTAGCACTAAAACTATAAATAACCCTACACTATTTAATTTCTATAAACATACCCAAAAAAAACCTAAAAATGACAGCTAGCCCTATTGAATTTAATTTTAATTATTAAATTACTTTGATGCCCCATTGAGTGTTTTGGGCTTTTTTATGAGGTTTTTGGGTTGGGTATGTTTTAAGAAATCAATAGCAGTTTGTAATTTAAAAAAAGTTAAAAGCCTTTGTTATGTTGTAAGTGGGCTTTGGGTGTGTTTCTAAAGTCCATTTCATATATGTTTTTTTTTAATAATTTGGGCTCCTATATTGGGTATTATAGTGAATCTCCCTATTTTGGTTTCAATTTGCATCTTCTTCCTTCTATTACCTTCAAAAATCACAAAACTTCTCTAGGTTTTAAGGCTGACATCGGGAAATGTCAGAACTGTCAACAATATCGGGGAAATCGACAACATATCAGTGATATGGGGGGAAGAAAGGTTTACCCCCCCCCAGTATCGGTGTTGACACTCTGAAAATCCAATCTGTCAGTGTATCAGCAGATATTTTCGTCCTTGATTAAGGGTTTGTCTTGGTCCGCATTGATGTTGAGGAAAGGAAAATGATGGGCTACCTAACTCAGGGTTTGGGAAATGGTTATGCAGAACAGACTACAATTACTGTTTTAATTTAGGGTTTTTGAAGTTGGGTTTATTTAAGTAATTTAGTTACCGAGGGTTTCTCACAGGGTTTTAGGTCTATATAAATTAAGGGTTTTGTAATTCTCTAGAGGGAGACTTGGTTGATGAATAAAGTTTATCCTTCTTGAATCCCTGACTATCTCTTTCCCCAGTCCATACCCTAATGTCTTTCTCGTCACATATCTCTAGCTCTTTCTTCCTCTACTTTATGAAAGTTATAATCCCACTTTTCTCCTAATTCTACCCAAAGTTCTAAAACCGCTTCTGGCACTACATGAACCAAGTCTGCCTCTACAGAAATACAAAGCCTGATTTATTGACCTAAAATCCTATTAGAAATCCTCGGGAACTAAATTACTGAGATGACCCTATACAAGAATAACAATCTTAGTCCATTCTACAAGAAATGGACTTTGATTTGGTGTCATTATTTGGCCCTTCCTTTGGTCTAAGAATTTCAATGATACTCCATTTAATTTAATTAATCTCAATGGGTGGGAAATAAATTTAAATGTTATGCTCTAGCTAGTAATGCTTAGACTGATTCCTGTCTATCTTTCCTTGAACATCTTTCTTTTCATGGATAGAAGTTTCTCATTCCACAAAAAAATAAAGTGATATTATGAAAATATAAAGAATGCATCAGCGTTAAAACTACTTTTGCCAATATTAACAGCAATTAACTAACACTAACAGCTTCTAGAAAAGAATGTCAAAGTGAATAAGATCACATCTTATAAAAGATTTTTTTTTAAAAAGGGAAATAAGATGGTGAGATAGTTACCCCTGCCAAATAACGATGTGAAAATGACTTCGGTTGTAATGGGCGCGAAAGTAACATCTTCAGCTCCTGTTTTCCAGATAAAAATAGATCAAATGATATTGCCCTAAACTTTAGAATATGCAGTACTTGACAAACATAAGAATAGGAAAGTTCGTAATACTACGCAACCTGCTGCAATTTGTGTAAATTCATGGAGCTGGCTTTCCTTTTCTTATGATTTTTCACCCTTTCCTCCTCGCTGTCATCATTGTCCACAACTAATTCAATCAATTCTGCATTTCTTTCAAACCAGCTTTTCTTTGATTTCTCCTGAAAAGAAAAAGAAAATTAAAAAAATTAGTAAAATGAGGTCATGAACAAACAAAAGGTAGTCAAACATACTATAGCCCATTATGAGAAAAATCTGAAATAGATATGAATGGGAATTACGAAAATTGGTACTAGTGTGCTGATGCAGGAGCATCTATTAGACTTCCTAATCTAAGTGGGCATCAGCCAATAAGGCTAAGTTTTAGTTATATTAAATTAATAGGTTATTTTATTACTTGTTTTCCTATTCTTACTAGGATTTGGTTTAATTTCCTGTTTAGGTTTTAATTTCCTTTGTCAATTAGGGTTTCTTATTAAACTAGGAACAGGAATGCTTGGCTGGTGTATTTTAGTATAAATAGGCTATTTAGAGACTTTTGTATTTAGTTTTGTTGATGAATATAATTTCAGACGTTAGTCTATAGAGTTTCTGTTGGGATTTTGCCCTAGAACTCAATTATCTTCGTTCCAACTTCGATTCTACTGCTTTATCCTTCTATTCTCTGTATTTTGGGTATGTTTGGGTCGCTGGACAGCAGCTTATAGCCGCTGCCCTGCATCATGTGCACACATAGAAGACTGTATGAAATATGCACATCAACTGTAACTTAGAGAAAAGAAAAACTAGAGTAATATAAAAAATCATGATTAGATACAACAGAGTATGTAAGGGTCGCATCCCACATTTTGGGATGATGCATCTAGCTGGTCCGATGGCATGCACAAGCAGGGACAGTCCATTTGAGTCATTCTATAGTGAAGGCCTAATATATGGCCCTCACTATATAGAATTCTCGCAGTCGATATTTCCTTGGTTGGGATTGGGTCATTCTTTCATGGAAAGGCCCAGCCCAATAGGCACATTACAAGGCCTACTGGGCTGGGCCTTGTGTTGTGCCTAGTGGGATTAGTCTTATATATTATAACAGATATTATATTTTAAGTTTTGATTTAGGTAGGTTCAATTCTTTCAAAGACAACATTGTTGTTTGGGGATAGTTTATGTTCGTTGTTTGGTGAATAAATAATTAGTAACTTGATTTTAGACCAGATGCATGACACGTGCAATGTGATGGAAGTTTCTGCAGTGTGATGAAAGGTACATAAAAAGGGGAAAAAAAACAAACGTGTCGTAGGGAGAAAGTGGGAGTTAATTACCATATTAGCCTTTATTTTCAAATAACATTAGTGTACAAATGATATAACTAACATTTTCTATATTTATGTTGACAAAGGGAGTTTCTCAACAATAAAAATAATTTAAATTATATAAACCACAAAAACCCCAAGTTAAAAGTCGTAGTCAATTCTAGGCCTGTCCCCTATGGTCCATTCAATTGTTTGGACTAAGGGATAGGCCTAAGACTAGCTTTTCCCCATTTGGATCGGAAGGCTCTGCCTGAACAGGAAGTTGAGTCTTGTTAAACCTAGGCTGGGTAAGACTTGGCCTTTCATACCTCAGGCCAAGTCATATTAGCCCTGCCCTTCTTGCAGCCCTAGAGTGCACTGGGCATAGGCGTTGAGCAGCTTAGCCCACACTGCCCACCACTAGAATTATACTGTAAAAGTCTAAATATATGAATATACCTGGGAATCCTTCCGCAGGATTTTGTCTATTTGACGGGCAAGAGATAATCGTTTGATGACCTCAGGCAAGTATGCGTTGTCCATGGGAAATCGCTGAAAACTTTCCTAAGTACAGAAGAAAAAAAAACATATTAAGGATAAATTGGAGACAGAAGTCACAGAACTAAAAACAATAAGTGCTGTGATTGATATATTCAACGTACGAGCACATACTCAATATTTAAACCATCACTTAGCACTTATTTTTTTCCTTGATGTAAAGTTTAAAATACAGCCTTATTCTGAAAAGTGATACCTTAGAAAATGATTTGCACAACGAAACGAATTTGGATGTCTCATTTGGTGCAATTAATGCAATGCTGCATCCATCAGCAGAAGCTCTAGCAGTTCTACCACTTCTGTGAACATAAACCTAGTAAATAAATAAATAAAACACTCCAGTCAGAAACTGTAAGGACCCCAACAAACATGATGAAAAACATCCAAATGTTTACTTCTGCTGAATGTGGAAGCTGGTAGTGAACAACAGTTCGAACACCAGGAATATCCAGGCCTCTTGCTGCAACGTCAGTGGCCACAAGTAAACCATGTTCATCTCCCCTAAAACGATCGATTGCCTGCATTCAGCATGATGAAGAGTGGAACAGTGTTAAAAAAGAAATTAAAGAATCTTGCAAATACAACCAAGTCTTGAGAAGAGCAAATATGACTATAAAAATAAAAAAAGGCATCAGATCCGTCCCAATTCCAGTTTGTCTGGACCCAGATTATATACATTTAAGAATGAGCTCCAGGACACAAACATAAAGGGTTGGTAAGATTATTATAAAAAAAACATTTGCCATTTCATAGTCTACTTCATGGGACTATTATTTATAAATAGGTATAAGTCTCATCATATAACTGCTCTGTTTAAACAACACCTACTGCCCTCAGCTCCACCAAACTAAAAAGGTTGAACTTCAAACTTACTTTCCTAAATAACCATTGATTAAATTGAATACTAAACAATTTTTGTCAATCATTCGCATGACCAAATTTCATAAAGCAATTCATAAAATGTCAAGGCCCACCACATCAAATGAAAATTTAATTATAACTTTTTGTTTGCAAGATATTTCTGTTACAACCTTGTTTGACTTAATTGGAAAATGAAAAACGAACCTTCAAGCGAGCTCGCTGCTGCATCTGAGCATGAAGTGTCCAGACATTCGTTCCAAGTATGCGCAAGAGTGATGATATATGTCGCAACGCTGCAACTGATGTACAGAACACAAGTGTGCGACCTTGTCCATGAACACTTAAAATATAATACAAATAGGCGTCTTTATCTTCTTCCGTGCATCTGCAAACCTAAGATGATTAAGTAGCATTCCACTGGAAAACTCAAGCAATAAACTTGAAGAGACTACAATGAAAAGACTAAACAACTTATTCATACAAATGAAAAAGGCAGATGTGTTGAAATTAAGAGAGTTTAGGGTTTAGTCCAAGGAAGATTTTAATCTGAAACGTAAATTGTCCCCAGTATCTAACAATAAGATATGGAAGTACCTAGTGGATGACTAATTGCAACAAACAGAAGGACATTTCATGGAACAAAAAAAGAATAGATAAGCTATAGCTCTTTCGGGATATACTAGGCAGAATTAGTGACCCTTAGGTAAGGGGTTGTGAACTTAAGAATAGCTAAGAAAAAGTACGATTTATGCATGTTTAAAATTGTTACATTTTCCCATTCATATGTGTGCTTCAAAAGCGAAGGACTGCAACTGCATGCCTAAAGCTCAGGGAAAAAAGAAAAAGAAAAAAAAGAACAACACATATTTGAACAAGCAGAAACAAAACCACATTTTCAAGTGCCCCAAATAGAACTACCTATGCTTGTAATGTAAAGTATCACACCAAATATACCATTTCAACTTCCATTTAGATTTCAGACAAAATCAACTAGCAATAGAATTCCGTATCCAATTAAAAAATATACATTCTTTTCCCATTTTTTATTTATAAGAAACAAAGTGATTGATTAAAAGAAACGCATGCAGAAACAGAGGACCAGAAATCCACTGCACTAATAGATGAAAAGATGACAGGGACATACTCGATAAATGACTCCACAAGCTTATTTGCCAAAATGGATGTATTTGTCAGATCAATGATTGCAACATTGTCTCTCATTCCTGCTCGCTCACTTAGAGCTTCTATTGAATTCACCCCATCAGACATTGATTGCTTTGATTTTAGCGAACTACGCTTTAGCTTCTTACGAAAATCAGGAGATAGTGCTATAGTAGCAGAGAAAACAAATGTTTGTCTTTTCTTCCTCTGGAAGTTGGACATCTCAACAGAATTTTGTGCATTTTCACAATGGGATTCACTTAATCCATTCCTCACTGGAAGCATGTCAATTATTGACTGCAATTCACGGAAATGACCATTTTCTATCATTCGATCAGCCTCATCCAGCACAAAGAAAGACAATGAATGTAACTGCAGAAGCAGAAAACAAGAGTCACAAAATTGATTTAAACTATACCACATGTCAAGGGTGTAGTACATGTGTGCAGCTCATTTATGCACATGAGAACAAGCATTGCCTGACACCACAACTGAGACTATGGTCACCATATTTCTTACGTTTGGAGTTGAACAGGGATAGCCCTCTTCCAATGAAGGCAACTGCTTACATACACAATATTATCAGTACTAACCTCAACAAGATGCTTTTCTCCACCAGACATAAGTTCCCATAATCTTCCTGGAGTCCCAACAATAATCTCAGGCCTTGCTTTTAGAAGTCTCTCCTGTTTTTCCATTGACATCCCTCCAACTATTGGAACCACTCTAACATCAGTATCCTTGGCAACTGCCTTAAGATGATCAGAGACCTGGAAAATGAAAAATGAAAATCCCCACATGCAGATTCCAAATCAAACAAGGTTCACAAAAATTCTAAAACCCATATGTTCCAATTATTCAAACATGTGGTAACTTTTCAGAACCATTTAACAAACTTTCCTGGGCCTTCTATAATATAAGTCCCAAACAACCCTAAAAATGGATGCAGCCGATAAAGGAATAAAAAGATATTTATGGACCCTAACAATGGATGCAGCAGATAAAGGAATAAAAAGATATATATGGACCATGTAGGCCCTAATGGAAACCATTCTTTCCACTAGGAATGAACCTTCTTTTATTATAAAAACCAAAGACTTATTTTAAATAAGTTTCCGGAAAAAAAATGCCAAACTGTTGTTTAGCTATCTTTAATTTACTTGTAACCAACTCCTAGACTTGAACGTGACAAAAGCCCCAGCACAGGCATCAAACTATCCATAATGTCAACCCATGCACTCATGCAACTGAGAATTACAAGAAGAAAATCAACTGGCAATGCAATTGTATTACCTGAAGTGCAAGTTCTCTTGTGGGAGTAATAATAAGGGCCCGTAAAAGACCTTTCAGAGAAAAATTTTCTGTTTGATCCCCCTTTTCATCAAACATCTTCACAGCCTTTTCTCTTTCCTCCAACAACCGTTGCAAAATGGGCAAACCAAAAGCTAGAGTCTTCCCGGACCCTGTCTCCGCAGCACCAATAACGTCCTGCCATATAAATCAATTATAATGATCATCAAACCAGATATAACCCCAACCTATCCAAGATCTTACACAATAACTTTAACCAACCTTCCCTTGATGAGCAGCAGCGGGAATACAAGCTTTCTGTATTGGCGTTGGTTCCTTGAACCCAAGCCGATATATTGATTTCATAATCAGATGATGGAGTCTCAACTCATTCCATGCATAATATTCATCTTCATCAAAAGGCTCTTCTTCAATTTCTTCCTTGCCATTGCTACTGTCGTCTGGAATCACAACACCAATGCAGAAAATAAAAAATAAATTAAAAAAGAAACAGCACCACACAACATCAATGCAGAAAATAAAACAAAACAAATTAGCATTGGAAAATTCCAAAAGTAAAAAGACAACACTAACCAACTGTGTTCTCCTCATTTTCCAGGGTCTCCTTGGCCTTCTTGTTCTTGTTCTTCTTTTTCTTCTTAATATTAACATTTTTGTCCTTGTCTTTCTCTTCAACCTCATTGTCACCATTTCCATCAACATTCTCACTTCCCTGAGCTTCCTTTGGCTTCTTTTTCTTTTTCTTCTTTTTATCCATCTCATTATCATCCTTGTCCAATCTCTCTTCACCATTAGCCTCCGCCCCCTCGCCAGCAGAGCCATCGACTCCGCTGCACTTCTGTTTCTTGGACTTTTTACTTTGCTTAGAATTTTCCTTCTTTTTCCTAATTTCTATTTGCGGTTCAGGAATTTGTAATCCATATTCAGCCTCATCAATCTCTTCAAGCATAAGAAAACCTGCATTCACTCATATTAACAATATCAAATGTAAACCCCCAAAAACCTTAATAGCAACTCTGCTTCTTTGAAAGCAAAAAAATAAAAATTAAAAAAATAAAAGAAAAAATAAAAGGAAGGCAACTGCACTAAGATAATGGATCTTCTTAAATTTGATGATGGAAACCTTTTCTTGAACCAATAGCATTATATATAATTGGTCAGTTATCAACACCCTGTATACTTCAAGAAGATCATCTTGTTGTGATATCATCAAAAACAAATTTTTTTAAAAGTTTCAGCATGCATACATCTTCTCTCCTACACTTTCCAACTTATTTGAATAGTACTAATTACAAAAGAAAAAAGAAAGAAAGAATTAATTTTCTAATTACATGGCTTTTCCCCTAGAGCTTTAGGTTACTTCCTCAAAACCGAGTTTCAGGCTAAATAGTTTCCCAGCAAATATATTATATGTATATGTATATATTTATACCTAGGAAGATTCTCCAATAAGTATTTTATGTTAAGGATTGGTTACATACTTTTAATCTTGGCCGTTGAATTGCATTCATTAAATGTGTTGGTATACAATCCAATGGCAGAGATTAGAAGTATGTAATCAATCCTTAACTTAAATACTTACTGGAGAATGACCATAGCTACATTTATAGCACGCAATGAATAGTACAAAATAGGGAGTATCTTAGGAAGTCTAGATGATTTGATCAAATCTATTTTGCACAAGGTTAGCATCACCAACTTCAGTATAACTTGTGACTTTTTCATTGCATGCAATTTATAGAACACGTGGATATAATTTTCAGATGCATCAATATATATATGGCGGCCATGATACCACTAGGCAAGGCACAATATGGTATATTATCTACAAACACAGTTTAGAATTTGATCAAAATAACGTTAAAACTTAATCAGTTGGACAACTTGTCTGGTCTTCTTTCACTTTGAACATATATACTTTAAGCACTTTCCTATTAATTTCAACAAGTTTGTTGCCATTTCTTTATATCAATTTTAACGGTGAAACAGACGCAACAAAAATTGATTAGTATATCTGTGATGGTTTACAAACCTCCTTCGAGCTCGTTGTTGCCGACGACATTGGAGAAGGCGTTGTGGTCGTCATTGGGAAGAGATGGGTTCCATGGGAGCGAATCGAATCGCTCGAGTTCTGCATCTTGTTGTTGAATTTGTTTCCTCTTGGCTTTTCTCTTCAATCCACGCGAGAGAGGTGTTGGCAGCATTGTACTTTTGGGTTTAGGGCTAAAACCTCAAACTGAAAACGTCCAGTTTCAGAGAGTAGAGAAATTTGTATGCAGTAAGATGTTTAAAAGCTGATGGGTAAAAGTGGGATGAGAGAGAGAGAGTGCAGAGAGATATCAGATCTGCAGCGCCGGGTAATACGCAGCGGGATAGAGAGGGGAGAGAGTTGGGGCGCGAGAGAGGGGAGAGAGTTGGGGAGCGAGAGAGGTAAGAGGGGGGAGCGGGAGGCGGAAGGGAAAGGAGGTAAGTAAGCCCAGCCCGATTGGTTTTAATGAAAATTATAAAATTCCGAAAATACCCCAAGATGATTTCACGCTCTCCTCTTCTTCGTGCGTCTTCTCTATCCCACGCCACATAGCACTCTTCTCCTTCTCTTCCATTCTTCCTCCATTTTTTTTCTTGTTAGATCAATTGAATTTTATAATAGCCTCCGGGTTTGATGGAACTAAAGGTAAGTAAGATGTTTTTTCATATTATATGGGTTTTGGGTATTGATTCAGTGGCTGGGTTAGTGGATGGATGTCTGTTCCAATTCAGGTTTAATTTCCTATTAATTTAACTTAATTGCATCAAATTGCCTTCAACATTCCAGGTTAGGTCATAGGACACCCAACGCTTGGTGGATATGTCTCATTCATGCATTCGTTCATTTCCAGCTCGGAAGAGGAAGTTTGGTTTAGGCCTCCCCCATAACTCGCTTAAGAGTAACACTAACTTGGTCCCCAACTTGTACATCGAGAGACACAGGCACCCAACTAAATTTGGTAAGATTTTGTTTTTTTTTCATGCTATCAACTCTGTATGTCGTCTCTGTTTAATTTTCAAGAGTAGATGCAAATATATGTGCTTGATGATTGTTTTCTTTCAGGATCATTTACCACTGCCTTTTTAAATCGGATTCGGATACCATCCTTGGGTTGGGTTCAGTACAGGTCAATCTCAATCTTGCATCCTTGTATCCTTCAGGCTACAGGGGAACTTTGCACGCTACCCACTAATGAACTGTCTGATTCTGATTCTTGCAATGATGCAATCGGTAATTTGGAGGAATCCCATGTTGATTCTGATGGGGATGTTACGACCAAGACAATTAGGAGGGTCTACCAAACACCAGTGGATTTCACCAAAGTGAACAAGAATCTGCTTCCAACTGTAGTTCTTATTGGGCGTCCAAATGTGGGCAAGTCAGCTTTGTTTAATCGGTCAGTTTTTCCTCTAGATGTTGCTTTTTTTTCATTATGCTATTTTTTGAAATTAGTATTCTATGTGTATTTTCCAAATTTTGGTTTTACTTATATTGGCGTAGAGGTTGTAACTTGTAATATTCTCAGCCTTGTTTTCTAAATTTTTTAATTTTTATTGTAGTTTAATCCGGAGACGGGAGGCTCTTGTCTACAATACACCAGATGATCATGTTACTCGTGACATAAGAGAAGGCATTGCAAAATTGGGTGATCTACGGTTTAAAGTATTGGACTCGGCTGGCTTAGAAACAGCAGCATCTTCAGGGTCTATTCTTGACAGAACATCAGGAATGACTGCAAGTGTTCTTGCAAGATGTCAGTTTGCTGTTTTCCTAATAGATGTGAGGTTAGTTATATCATTAAATGGAGGCTAGCATGTCTTTACTTATGTAAAAATTAAAAGAGTTTCTATTCACCCCATGCAAGTGTTTAAGTTGACCAAACAAAGCTTTTCTATATGGGATTACTGGCCGTGAATAAGAAGCCTTATATTATGTGATCAAGTAGATAAGTCACATTTGGTTGACCAGGGGGTTATATTTTATGGACTTTCTATTGAAATTTTGTAGTTCACTGTTGTAATTTGAAAGAATTACTGGAGTGCTACCACCCATCACAACACATCCCTTCAGTTTATCTTTTCCTTTTGAAAGTAACGTTTATTTAGTCTTTTGATGTTATCTTGTGACTAGAGCTGGACTGCACCCCCTTGATCTGGAGGTTGGAAGGTGGTTGCGCAAACATGCACCTGGAATCAATCTTGTAGTTGCCATGAATAAATCCGAATCACTTCTTGATGGTAGTGGCTCTCTTATGGCAGCTGCTGCTGAAACTTATAGGTTAGGATTTGGTGACCCTATTGCCATATCAGCTGAAACTGGACTAGGTATGCAAGATCTCTATGGGAGTCTAAAGCCTAAGCTTGAGGACTATATGCTTCAAGTATTAAACAGTAAGGAAATTTTTATGCTTTTTTTCTTTTTCAATAAAGTATTTGTTCCATGCAGTCCATGATGTAGATGAACTTTTTGAAACATTATAGTCTTCTATTCTCTATCATCGCTCTTAGCAAGCTTGCACTGTGCAACCATATTTACTCTTTAGAGAAAATTAATGAAGATTATCATGCCTCTTTAAAACTTGTATTGGGATTGCAATGGTAGTGTTCACACATCTAAGCATGTCAAATTATTGCCCTATGTATAGCAACACTGCTTACTTTATGATTTTCTTTTTTAGTGAGAAACGACTTGCATTAAAAAGTGCAACGGCAAATAGGATAGGAAAGATGTTCATAAAAAACAAATCTACCAAAATATCATACACAAGAAGAATACCTTCCTTTATCTCAAAACTAATCCCTCCCCCTCCCCGTATCTAGCATAATTACAGTAAAAATAATATCCTTAAAAATGCTTTCACATTGATACCCAACAATCTAACTCTGTTTAGTTTGTTGGACCTGTACCTTTGGCTGATGTTTTATTTGTCTTTAAATATGTTTGATGGAATAGTACTGTAGTGATGACTACTTAGTCCAATATCAATAAACTACTATCTCATATTTTGGATACTGTAAGTTTATACCCTAGTAAATATTTTATGTATACTTTTTAAATCGCAAACAGTCTGCTACTGATGATTTCATATAATGTATTCTAATATAAACTGCAAACAAGCTGCTCTTTAACGGCATCATCATATTCTTTTATTGCTTTCATGATGATGTGGTCAATTTTTATGCTAACCTAGTTGATAGCCCTTTTCCTTCTTTCCTGATCCTAGATGAAGAAGGTACTGAGGAGAGTAATTTCAGTGAGGATGGCAGCTCCTGTGAGGTTGAGGAGAGTAAGTTGCAATTACAGTTAGCAATTGTAGGAAGACCCAATGTTGGGAAGTCAACGTTGCTGAATACATTGCTACAAGAAGAACGGGTGCTGGTGGGTCCAGAAGCTGGTTTGACGAGAGATTCAATTAGAGCTCAGTTTGAATGTCAAGGGAGAACAATATACCTGGTACATGTTATATTATTTGTTTGGTGTTTTTTTTTGCTTTTTTACAGTCATACAAGATTATTTGATTGCATCATCCCTCTTCCACCTTTCCAATTATCTAGAGAAGTATTATGCTTATTGGAGTCTAAACTCTCGCACTCAGGTTAATAGATAATTTATTTCCTTTGTTTATATTCTAATCATACATCTGTAGTTTTCGTTATTCTCATGTCATGCTCTTTATAACCTTGTCTTATATCTGTCAGAGATTGTATTCCATCTGAGCTTCAACTTTATCGTATATATCAAAATCGTATGCTATTAGATTTCTTCACAAATATAGGAATTTTTCTTTGTGAGTTGGAAAGGGGGTTAGTTGATTCCATTTCATTATAGCATCCTTGAACAAGATTCGTAGGAGCGCTTCTTTGTTAGTGCAAGGCCTGAGTGAGATTATTGGATTTTATTAGTGAAATCAATAGGTGCTTTAGGAATGTGAAACTTTCAAAGATATTTCTTTCAAGCATTTCCTGGTTTCAAAAATGAATAATGTAGCTTTTTATGGATTGGAAGAGTTGCATGAGAAGCAGCATGGGCATAACACATGCAAGAAATATGTGCAGAGCCGGACTAGAGTACTGTTGGTTGTAGCAACCACTAGCCCTCACTTTTGATCTCTATCTTGAGTACAAGATTTGTATCCTTCTTCTTGGCATATTTAATGTATATTCGTTACCAAATGTGAGACATCTTGATAAAGTTTGCTAGTTGCACTCTCTAAATTTAATTATATCTTTTGTTTTATGTTTTTTTTTCATCTTCTCAAATTTCATATATATTGCTTGATTTATTTGATTTTATTGTGGCTAAATTCAGGTCGACACTGCAGGTTGGTTGCAGAGAACAAAAATGGAGAAAGGACCAGCATCCTTGAGCATTGTGCAGACAAGAAAGAGTCTAATGAGAGCTCATGTAATCGCTCTGGTCCTTGATGCAGAAGAGGTGTGTCATACAATATGTTTTCTTTTATGAAAATTTGATAGTGTGTGATATATTATGTCTGCTATGAAAATGGCAAAATGATCTATGATGGAAAGAAAAAGGTCTCAAGTGTGTACAAGAGTGTTAATGATGAAATATGAGGCTTTGCTGGTAAGTGGTTGTAGAGGTTTCAAAAAGAGACAGACTCCCTATGATATGCTGTAATCCGGAGTAAATATGGGCTGCTTGAGAATGGGTGGGACCCAGCAAAGGGAGTCTGTCTCTGTTTGATGCTTCATGCATTGCATTGTTTGGAGAGAGGTTTAATTTATTCAGAGGAAAGAAAAGCGGAGAAGTTCTGGGAAGATGTGCTATGTTGGCAGTTTTTTGGGTAGTGTGGATGGAAAGGAATAGGAGAGTTTTTTATAATGTTAAGGGTGATGAGATAGTTCAGTTATGGGATCCTTGTGGGCATTAATGTCTTCAAAGTTTAAGGATTATACCTTTTATTTAATATATTTGGATTGGAAAGCAGTAGTATAGTAGAGATAGTTTTTCTAGTGAAATGTGATAGGGAGGTGTCTTAGTTGCAAGATTCTGATTGTTGTATATTTGGTGGATCTCTTGTTCACCGATGTGTACTTTCTTGTTTAAGGTTTAGTTTACTTTCTTGGTTTTTTTTATAAAAATTTATGGTTTCTTATAAAAATAAAAATAAAAAGACGAAACATGACACCTTATGTGCACAGGTCAACCCATTGATAATTCCTTTCTTATATTATGAGGCTTGAATGATTAAATTCTGTGTGAGATTTGCTATTAGAAAACAGAACTTGTTCTACTAAAAGAGTTTTATTGCCATTTGTTGCTTGATGCAAATGTTACTTTTGTACTATGAACGAACTTACTTTGGGCCACAAAGGTATTGATCCAAATCTATATTTGTAAAACAATTTTAGTGTGCGTCATCTACTTCTTTTCCCATTTCATGAACTGATGCACCTCTTAGGTAATATTGCAGTGAGGTTTTATTAGGTTTAATGTTATTGTCTTGCCCAGTGTGGTGAAAATGATTAGTGCATTGGTGGATGGCAGCATATATGCCCCATTAATGTTATTTGCAATCTAGGGTGCAAATACTGTTAAATTGACCCGAGAGCATTTTAACCCTATTATAATAGTGAATCCTTAATGAATATAAAAAAACTTCTTGACCATATTATAATAGTGATATATGCACTAGAAATTTTATAACCTGCAACAGTGTTTTTGTTTTCTTCTCCATATTTAATGGATTCCTTTATTGCAACATTTTATGTAATGACCAGATTGCAAATTCTAGAAGAAGTTTGAAGCATGATGAAGTAGTTATAGCAAGACAGGCAGTTGAAGAAGGCCGTGGCTTGGTTGTAGTTGTGAACAAGATGGATCTGTTAAGAGGGAAGCAATTATATGACAAGGTTATGGAAGCTGTGCCCCAAGAAATTCAGACCATTATGCCCCAGGTATTCCTGTGTACTATTTTCTTAAAATAAATGTAAAGAATGCTCCTGCTTGTTATTATCTTCACTACTCACGCATATTTAAAATACTTTTCATAGAAAGTACAAAAGGCTGAAGCGTTTTTCATATGCCTGTCCTCGGCTACCCAAGTTAATATGGGGTTTTTGTTCTGACCAAAAAAATAATGATATAAGATACTATGAGGTCACAAAGTATTTTTATTTCGGGCGGGTATCTGCAAAAGACAGAAGGTTGGGGAAGGGGGACTCCAAGCTCTATCTGCAATAATGTGTTTTGAGCAATGGTAAAAATGGTAGTTTACTGTTAGCATGGTTGTTGCAAACAGGTGACTGGGATACCAATTGTATTCATATCAGCCTTGGAGGGAAGGGGTCATGCAGCTGTCATGCACCAGGTTATTGATACATATGAAAAATGGTGTTCAAGATTGTCGACAGCTCGTCTTAATCGTTGGTTGCGTAAGGTCAGTTGATGATACCTTTTGTGTTTCAGCCATCGACCTCATAAAAGTCATTTGGAAGTAACCTTCTCCGTCTTTTCCTGTGTTTGATCAGGTTATGAGCAGGCATTCTTGGAAAGATCAGGCTGCTCAACCCAAGGTTAAGTATTTTACACAGGTGAAGGCCCGACCACCCACTTTTGTTGCCTTTGTGAGTGGGAAGAAAGAGCTCTCAGAAACAGACATCAGGTTCCTAAAAAGGTCTTTGAAAGAAGACTTTGATTTGGGTGGAATACCGATCAGGATCATGCCGAGGTCCATCGAAAGGAAAGCTGTGAACGGCACTAGCAAGAGCGGCCAAATTACTAATAGACCGTCTGAAAGGATGTTCTCTGACAAGAGAAAAGTGTGTCCGGTTGAATAGCATTTTTGAGTCCTCTAGACGGCTATTGTTGTCCTCTTCAATCACAGTAATTTTAGCCTCTTAGATGCTGAGACTGTAATTATCCAATAGTTACAATTTTGACCTTTATTGCAGGATGTAATTTTCTTTAGGAAAATTATTTTAGTTGTAGATTATATTTTTTGTATTTAACATGAAATTCTTAGTTGAGTGGGGTAGCACAATTGCAGGAGGGTATGAGGTTTAAGTGTACGTTTATTTTGGGTTTAGGGATTTTATTTTGTGTTTTTGACATAAAAATGATATTTAACACCATTCCTTTTTCTTTTCTTTTTTTCTCCTTTTGAACTCTTGTGCGTTTTTCCCTTATCCATTGTCTGAATTATTTGTTTTGGTAAAACTAATAGGCAAATTTCTTGCATCCAATGCAAATACTAGTTATAGATCAATTGATCTTCATTCATATAATATTTATTTATCGTTTTTAAAAAAATTCTAAGAAAATGTATTTTTTTTATAATTAAGTTAGGCAGTGTTGTGAAATTGGTTTGAAACCCGACTCTTAAAATTTTTAGTTTGATATTTTCCAGCCAAGGACAAAGTTGGTCAAAAGTAAATGGCTGAGTGGACCAAATGTCCAGGTTTATCTCTAAATTGACTTCCAGAATCGCTCAGGCAGATTGGACTGCAAATTGGCGGCACTCCGATCACAAGAAGGTCTAGTTCAGCCAAAAAACTTACTCGTTAAAGGAAGTGTGATTCTCATTATTGAATAAACTGTTACAAAGGCCTTTATACACACAACAACTATGCTGAGCTGTCATAACTAATTACAGATGAGAATATATTAGTAAACAGAAAATATAACTAATCTAACAGATTAATAACTAGTTACTGCCTTTAGCCTCCCTCAAGCTGAAAGGGGGAGAGCACACTGTAAGCTTTTCATGAAGAAAGACATGTCTGGCAGTAGATAAAGGTTTCGTGAAAATGTCTGCAAGCTGATTTGCAGAGGAAACAAACCGAATTTGTAAGAAGCCGTGTTGAACCAACTCTCTAGTGAAATGATAATCAACTTCGACATGTTTGGTTCTTGCACTGAAGACGGGATTAGAAGCAAGATGAATGGCTGACTGATTATCACACCAAAGAAGAGGAACAGAGGACAGTTGGAAACCAATGTCTTTGAATAATTTGGAAAGATAAATCAGCTCAGCAGCAGTCATGGCAATGCCACGATATTCAGCTTCAGTGGAACTGCGAGAGACGGTTGGTTGCACCAGCCACTGGTAGACCTCCGATCAATGGGACACCCTGCCCAGTCAGCATCTGTGAAAGCATGTAAACTAAGAGAATCCTTCGTAAACCAAACACCCATATCAAGAGTTCCCTTGAGATAACACTAGTCAATAACACAATGACACGTGGAAACGTTATCTCATGTATCATTGAGTTATTGGTTGGAGATAGCAAAAACTGATGTCCCCGTTGTATGAAAGTCTTTTTTCGAGTTCAGACAAAGAATTACAACACCTAAGAGTTGTTCTGGAATCTCTGATTCGATTTGACTTTTAATGAGAAAGGTAAGGTCAACAGTCAGTGTTGTTATATAACCAAATGCCAGATCATGAACTATAGCACTTGATCACAATACTTACAAGAAAGGCACACCCAATTATGCATATATAACCATAAAATTTTCACTAGGTGGGGAAGCCTAACCTTTTGGACAATTGTCTGCATCAAGAAGTGGAACATCTCCCTCTAATCTTACTCTCCCTATTCATTCAAGCTCTTTTGTCCCACCAATGCTGGCCTTAAGAAATTTGCTTTCAGCAACAATCTATCAAATAATAAGAGAATATAAGGTCGTAAGAAACCCCTTGAGGCTCATCTGTGAATCCCTCTAAATAATCCTTGAGGCTCTCACCACCTATGTTGAGATCATGCACAACCAACAAGCGAGTTGTGCTTTAGTCTAATCCTGCCATGTGGCAGTTTAGCGTTAGATTTTATTTGCTCTCACATTGCCCTTTTTTCCTCTTCCCAGCCCATGTTGGTGGGTAGAGGAAAAAAAAATAGAGCAACTTATATATTGCATAAAAACCAATCAGACTTATGTATTGCATTAAAAATAGAGCACCTTCTTCAAATCGTGCCACTAAACGGGCCAATATGGACTCACACCAAACTTGACTTATGCATTGTACTTTTTTGTAAACTTTTTACAATTTCATTTCAATCTTTTTTATAATTATGTATATACTAACAAGACTTATTATTTGTTGGAAAAAGAGGTCAATGATTTTATTTGAAGTACATTTAAATAGAAAATGGCCAGATTATTGTTAGGGTTTTAAAAATTGAAACTTGAAAAACAAAATTATTATTTTATTTATTAAAAAATTAAATTTTAATATATATTATTAGAGAAAAGAAATAGAGTTGAAGTTCAGATATAAATAGAATAATATTATGTATTATTTTACTCTTAAATAAATATAATTTAATAAATGGGTTTTAAATAGGCCGGCCTGTTGGGCTTCAGGTCATCACAGCCCACTCAAAGATATGGGTTGCGCCTTGTCGGGTCTTACTTAATCAGCCCGTGCTCAGCCTGGCCTGGTTTGTTTGATACCTCTAGTATAAGGCCAGCAACTCTTGTGATGTCAAGCAAATGTCTTCCGCTGACGGTTTGTAATTTATATATAAGTGGTATTCAAAGAATTCAGAAATAAGCAAATGAAGAGGTGCATTTAGATTTTCTTTCTTTTTTCGTTGAGAGATTAAATAAACAATAATCATCTTTCCAAGGAAGCTGATTTTCAAGTAGCAACAAGTCATTTCCAACTGTCGATGACATACATGGCATGTTGAAAATTGGGTCAGAGGGTAAGTATTTGTGGAAAAGTTCAACAAAAAAGCAACCATCAACCACTACCATTTCCACAAATCTGTCGCTGCTGAGATGATCAAACTTATCGTCATAGCTGCCTCGAAAAAATTGTTCTAATTTCTGTCACGAACTTCTCCAAACTGGTGTTCTCCACTGCCATTTCTGACTCTCTTCCTCCTCTCTAAGTCGCTCAGTTAAAGTTGAAAAAGACTCAATCGTCCTCATACACTCCGTTAGAAACACGAAGAACCCCAAATCAGTAATCATCTCTCCAACCGCCGCTCTCCACTACCATCTCTCACTCTGATTCTCCTCTTTAAGTCGCTCAGTTAGAGTCGAGAGAGACTCTTTCTCCCTTTGGTTCACTTCGTTCGAGAGCTTAACCGAACCACATCCAATTTCGTCCAATTTTTCCAAGAATCAATACCAATTGTTAAGGGCTCTGGATCATTCTAGGGCAGAGAAGTATGTATTTTGTTTTAATCTATGAAAGGAAGACAATTTTTTTCGTTTTTCCCCCAATTTAGTGATTATTTGGGTTATTGATTTTTGGTATTTTTTTTTAAATTAACTATAATTTGTTTTTTAATTTTTGCAGTTGTTTGGCTTCAATCTCTTCTGCATCTACAAGGGTTTCAATTATTAGGCTTCAATTGAGGTGTGACAATTGTTTCTCTATTTGAATTAGAGGTGTCAAATGGATCGGGTTAGTCGGAGCATGATCCACTTAAATAAGGCACAGCACGACAAGGCCCGTATCTTTGGGCTAATGGGGATGAGGTAATTAGGCCAATGGGCCAGCCTGTTTAAAGCCAATTTATTAAATTATATTTATTTTAAAGAACAATAATACATAATATTATTACATTTATATCTTAAATTCAAGCCTATTTCCTTTCTCTAATAATATATATTAAAATTTAATGTTTTCTTTATATATAAAATAATGATTTTATTTTTCAAGTTTCAATTTTTTAAATCCAAACAATACTCTAGTCATTTTCTATTTAATGTACTTTAAATAAAGTTATTGGCATCTTTTTTCAACAAATAATAAGTCTTGTTTGTATATACATAATTGTAAAAAAGATTTAAATGAAGTTGTAAAAAAATTTCAAAACAAAATGCAATACATAAGTCAAATTTGGCGTAGGCCCATCTCGGCCCGTTTAGTGGCTCGGCCCGAGCTTTGATTGATGATTTTCATAAATAAACGGGCCCGACACAACCCGTTTATTAAATAGGCCAACTCTAAATTGGTCGGGCCAGTCCGACACGGCCCATTTGACACCTCTAGTTTGAATGCTTAGGGTTTCGATTATAAGCCTCGAAATTGTTTCATTATCGGCTTGATGGAGTGCATATGATTTGTTTAATTGAATATGTATTTGTTTATTTGATTGAGGGGCTTGATATGTTTAAATGCATCTGTTTTTTTTTTTTTTTTTTTTTTTTTTTTTGTCTGCATATGATTTGTTTAATTGAATATGTATATGTTTTATCTGATTGAGGGGCTTGATAAAGTTGTAAATGCATCTGTTTTTTTTTTTTTTTTTTTTTTTTTTTTTTTTTTTTTTTTATGTATGAATTTGTTTGTATCTCTTCTTGTTTTGTTCATACCAGGAAATTTTACTACTTAAAAAATCATTTTATAGCATGCTTCACCTACATTGTTCTAAATTTTAATTGGTGCACTAAGTTTTCAAATGTCTGGTATAATAAAAGTTTTTTTTACTTCATAAGCTCTTTAGTCTATATCTCAACTGAACCGCCATGTGGGTTGTCTCTTCCTAACCCATGAAACATGATTTCCAAATAGAAAGTGGTTCAACAAAAGTCCAAGATCATATCTCATAGTATTTTCCTCTAGCGAAATGGTCCCACCAAACTAGTTTTGCTGTTGTTTTGTGCCAGTCCCTTTCTTTTTATCCTTTTTTTTTAAAAAAAAATTATTTTTTTATTGGAATGTGTGTTAGATATTGTCATTGGCTCCACAACTACTTGTTATTTACCACTTTTTATTTTGAAAACCTTCCTTTTCCTTTTTTCACTTGTCTTTTTTTCCTTTGAAAACTCTTGATTCTACTACACATGGAGTAAAGAAGAGGAAAAGTGAAGCAACATA